GTGTGTGTGTGTGTGTGTGTGTGTGTGTGTGTGTGTGTGTGTGTGTGCTGGTGCATGGATATCTTCTTCAATTGTTTGTCTATGTTAGTTTTGCGACAAGGTCTTTTCCTGAACCTTAAGCTCCATGTTCTAGCTGGGTTAGCTGACTGGTGAAGACCTGTGGTCTGCCTGTCTTCGTCTCTCTTGCATTAGGGTTATAAGCCTGCCTCTATGCTTGGATGCTTTCCATGGTTTCTAGGGACCCAAACTTCAGATCCTCATGCTCATGCAGCAAGTCTTTTACCCACTAAGCATCTTCCCAGTCAGTCGTTCTTTTCTTTTCTCAGTATGTGTCTGAGCGCTGAGATGCAAGTACAGTAAACTGTCAAGTTATATTTAGGAGACACCTGAGATGAAAGTTCTGAGACAGTGTCTGAGAAATGTCTGATGTGTGTCTAGGAGTAATTTCTGCCTCAGATCCTCCCAGTTCAAGTAAGGTGTTCTATAAATGGACTTTGGACATAAATACTTCATCACAATATAAAATGAAAGATGAAACTCAAATATTACCTAGGAAGTTTTATTAAAATGTTCCCTCAAATTTGTGTCATTGTGTCCGCAAATTGGAAAAGATAGCTATAAAGTTAAAGGCACATCTGTAGCTTTCACTGAGCATTTTCTTTAAATCAGTTTCACAAATCACAGTTTACATGGAAACAATCTTTCTAAAGTTCATGTCCTGTGTTGTACGATGTTTATTCATCTCGCATCTGAACTCTTTTGTGAGGCAATCCATGACCCCGTGATCATTTGAAAACATTTTATATTAGAGTCTAAACATAAGCACAATAGAGACTCACATCAAAAAATAGAGCAGAAAAGTTCATGAATACTAGAGGAAATAAATGATCTCACATTTTGAAAGTGTTTGCTTGTTGTAACAGTATTTTACAGCCATGCTATTTTATCTTGGCTACATGCTATTTGAAAGAATCAAAATCGACAGTATTGGCACTTTGTTGCTTACAAGGGCGTTGAAAGAGTGAATATTTGTGTTTTATTCATACATCATGCATTGTAAGTTTGAGTATTGTTTGAATGTAGATTTTTGGTTTATATAACCATGGATGTTTGGAGGCTAAGGATCTAATAAGCTTATAATATTTAATGGTTCCTTAAGTTCTGATGAGAGGAATATTTACTGTTTTAATGTTTCTATAGGATGTGAGTAAGCCTTTGAGGTCTGTTCTGCTTTTTTTCTTCCTTGAGACTCAGTGTCACTCACCGAGAGTCCAGATTGGCCATGTATTTATTAATCTTCCTTCCTTAGCCTCCTGAGTACTGGGGTTGCAGGAGTACCACACCATACCATGCTGACATTTTCTTTGTTTCTACTGATAAGGATATATCTTTATATCAACTTTGGCATAAATATTAATTAGTAATTTAGGAAACTGCTACATAGTTAGAAGCCTTAAATATATTAATTTTTTACAATATTCAAAGCAGTTGTTGTTTGTTTCATAGAGAAGGATTTGGAGAGTCGGGAAGCCCGGCGCCTCAGCCCACTGTTTTAGAATATGCTAGTATTTAAATACATGGAGGCGGTTTTGAAAACCTTTGCCATTCTGACCTCTGGCTTGAGTTTTCTTTGTACAAAACACCTATTGTTTCAGCATGATGAAGACGTGCTATTACGTGTAGGTCTCTGGGTACTATGGATGATTCTGTCCATCCTCTAATCTGCAGACTCTCCAGATAGAAATCTTTTGGAGTGTATATAAAAAAAAAAGACTCTGGTCTTTGTCTCTTCTATGGGTCAGCATGACATTGACTCAATCTCTCTAGTTTTACTGAAGTTTGGAGATTAGACCTAAAGATTTCTTAAAGTTCTTCTTTAAGAAATGCTCAATTCAGAGAACTAGTGATGGAGAAAGAAAAGGTAGCTTAGAGCTGGCTAGCCATGAAATTAGGCTTCCCTAGGCTGACTGTCCTTGTGCAGATTATCATAGAACAAATTATACCATGGTGGGTTGCTCATTCTCTTTCTTTTAACAATGTTACTTGTGCTTATGAGTTTAATTATGAATTGTATGCTAATACATTTGTGTAATTCATACTTTTTCTTTTAACTCAACTTCTAATACAATATTTCTACTTGACAATCTCAAATTTAACATGTCCAAAATGAGATTCATCATCTTTTCCTTGCCCTCTTCTCATTTTCTGTAATTATACAGGTTATTACATGAAAAATGTTGTCATCTGACTCTGTAGCATCTTCTTCTTCAGTTTCTTCTGCCATCAGATGTTGTCAATGTCTTGTTCAGAGGAGCCATGAAATCCTTTGTTGTATATCAAATGCTCTAGTATGACTCTACTCTGAAATAGGTTGTTTCCTCAGAATTAAGTTCTACCTCCACTTTGCATGCAGTCCTCTCTTTCTTCACAACATGGTTATGCTGGTATTTTCAAATCTTAAACCTGGCCCCATATATTCTTTCATTTTA